TCTATATATATATATATATATATATTTATGTCTGTATATATTGTCCAAGAAGCAAACCTCTTTTTCTGACTGCCCAAAGCTAATTAAAGATATAAATGACAGGTGAAACAATTTAGTAGACTTAATTTTATTACAAGACCAAATACATGGCGGCACCTGTAGCAGCACACAAAATGTGCCATGTCATAGCAATAACTTATTTTTTTTTCTCCATATAACGTCTAGTGTGACTAGTTCTAAGGTCTAGAATAATATTTAAACTGACATTTGACATGTTATTAGGACTATTAATGCAATTAAACCCATTATATATATATCATAGTCTAAAATGCTTTGCATGTGCATTCATTACCATTGTGCTTTAGGCCAACCAGGTTTACATCATACCATTTATGCTTCCACACTGAATGGGTTTTCTAAAAACTGTTTAACATTTTTTTATTTAATACATGCTATAAACACATTAGGTATGTAAGCAAGCAAACACATCTTAAGTCTAAAGCTGACTAAGGGCTTTGGTTCCAATTAAAATAATATCAAGCATTCCTGTTTTCCTGGCAAGGCAGCTGTTAGTATGTCCCAAAGCAGCAAGAAAATGTTTTAATGATGTAATTCTTGAAATATTTTCAAGAAACGCCCTGCTGTTACTTTTTCAAACTGTGGCAGCAAAAAATGTTATTTCAGAATTTAAATGAGAAAATATGGCTTGTGTGGTTTTCTAAAATCAACTTTGATATGTATGAGGTATTTATGCAAACAGCTATAGTACACTTTTGGTGTCACCAAGATTACATGTAAAACACATTTTTAAATCTGCAAACAAAAGCTGCACGTTTACAGTCAAACTTATATTCTGATGTAATTTTTTTGGCATAATGGCAAGGGTAGATTAGTAAAAATTTTATATAGTGTGCTATTTGTACTATTAAAAAAAAAAAACAGTATGTCCCATTCCTAATAGACACTAGTCTGGCACATTTGGCATGCAAGCGTGTATGCTCAATGCAATGTAATTGTGATATGAGGGTTATACAAATAATAAGTGCAGTAACTGTACTCTTTTTGGACTTGCCACCGAACAGTAACCAGTAAGTTTCTGATTGAAGCAGAACAACAGGCAATTTTTTTGAATAAAATGTGCTGCGTAATGAATAGTTAACTTCTTTCTATGCATTATTCACATAATACAAGGTGTTCTGTGAATAAGAAAGGGGAGAGGAAAGACAGAAAGGGGACAGGACAGCTTCTGTGTATGAGAGTTGCATAGAGTCGCAGTGAGAGCTGTACTATCAATGAAAATGTACATAATAAAGAAACAGCAGTGATCCTGAAGGTGACATACACATCATGAAAGTTAACTATTTGTTACCTATCCTATTTAAATTAAATTGGTGCAGAAAAAAGTGGTTAGTGGCACACTGACATATTCCAATAGTAACTTCTTCATTCATCCTTAAAATCAGGGACACAGAAGATGAACAAAGTATTCTAACATGTTGTCTGGAGTAATGCTTAAATGAGTTAATCAATTTAGGTCAATTACCCAATTTACATGGACAATTAAGTTTACATCTTGAGAAATTAACTATTGAAATCTCACTTGATCTCATGGCTCAATTACTGTAAATATTTCTTAGAATTAGTCACTGTGGAGCTACAATACTAGGTAGAAATTGTACAGTAATTACATGAACAATGTGATGGCTATAGAGACATGAAAGACAATAGATTCAATGTACAGGTGAAACTCGAATAATTAGAATATCGTGCAAAAGTAATGGCAGTAACTGCTGCAAAAGGGGCCCAAACCAAGTACTGAGTACATATGCATGCTTGTACTTTTCAGAGGTCCGATATTGTTCTATGTACAATCCTTGTTTTATTGAATTCATGTAATAATCTACTTTTTTGAGGTTGTGGATTTGGGGTTCTTGGGGTTTTCATGAGCTGTAAGCCATAATATTAACATTTTAAATATAATGGTGAATGAAGGGGTAAATTCTACACAAACATTCCAAATCATATGCCATTTTTGGTACACCATTGATATAGAACTGCTCAGTGCCTTTCAGCATCTGGTTGAAACACTAAAAGGGCTATGTTATTTTAGCTTCGCTCTCTCAAGACATCTGTCTGATGCTAAAAAACATGCGTTTATACAAGTATAGTAGGGCCTGTACCAACCCACATGCCTGGTCTATTGGGCTGATATTTTTTTGGAGCTATAATGATAAATGAGTTACCTTTTACTGTACACCTATGAACTGTAATAACAATGACAATGCTTTGCTTTGCTTTTAATCTCATAGCAGATGTGATATAGAACTGACAGTCAAGAATAGCTGATGATTTACATATGGCGCCACACATTCTTCACTTTTTGCCAGTAAATTGATTTATGACTTGTCAAAAACAACGTACTTGGTTCAGGTTTGATTTAAGCTACTGTACAATAAAAAGCCTTGTAAAGAAAATCTCTTTAAGCATATCCACGCCAAATGCAATTTTTCTGTTTCTCTCAGCATTTCAAGAACAACTTTTTGCTTACTTGTAACTGTAAATGTGGACAAATTAGCTGGATGTGCAGTTTTCCAATTCCAATTTCCAATAATCTTGTACACTGTGTTATTATTTTGTTATAAAGAATTTACCCATTGATTGAAAACTGTTTATGAAGTTTCACACTTTGACATACTTACCATGTCTAAGGGCCCACTAACTCTTACGTGTTGTGGTAATGGATGTTCTACACTGCCACCCTATTCAGAATGAATGGGCTGCTTTAACACAGTCCACTTTAATGCACAATAATGTCTTGCATTAAGGCATGTGCAATAACGCAACTCATATTGAGAATTACCCATATTTCCTATAAGTGCATACTCAGGGGTAAAGTTGTAGTAATATTAAAGGAAGTTTTCTATTTTACCTTTAGGCTTATTGAATCTCCCCATAAACCTCTTGATAATTGAAATATAAATGGTCTACATCCTGCATGGTTTTGCATGCTCATTTGAACAGCAGAAACTCATTACTGATCATTTATCTATCGCTCATAAACAATAAATCTTGTCTAAAAGTGACTTTTATAACTTAAAGGTGGCCATGAAGATGCTTCTCCTGATTTAGCTCCCTTAATCACAACACGGTGATTAGAACTCTACTAGGGGTTGGTAGCAAGCACTTTGCAAGCATTGGGAACACCTATTATTGCCCATGGAGATTTTATAGTTAAAAACAAAAATCTCTATGTGAATAAATGTTCGTTTTTATCATTTTGTTTTGTGAGAAGTTTAAATGTGATAAAAAGTTATTACCTGCAGGTGCAGCACTTCAATGCATTGAATGAGTTGCACAAGAAACAGCCATGACCTAGTACATGTTCCCTGACCTTTCCTATCATTGCAGATAATATGCCTAGCAATTAAAACATACTGCAGTTAGGTGGTATAATGTCAATCAACTAGAGTGGGACATGACTGCATTCAGATATCATAGCTATGGAAGCTTGAAATGGCTACTAAAAATTATTAAGGGGGTTATTCACAAAGCTGCCAAAGGCAGTGAATAACCCAGCCGAAGTAAAGTGAGGCGAATGCTGTTCAGGTATTCACTTCTGGCTTGTACGGCGGATTTCGACTTTGGCTGACCTTTCTCCACGCTTCGGCTGTCGCTTCAGCTCAGTCGAGCCAAATCATATGCCTTCAGCTCGGCTGCCTTCATCTGCTGTGTGGGCTATTGTGAGTAGCCTGTACAGCAGCCCTTCAGTTCGAAAGAACCAAAGGGCTTCAGCAGCCGAAGAGAGCCGAAGGATCAGCTGAAGCTACGGCTGTATCCTTTGGCTCCATAGTGGATAACCCCCTATATAATGCATTGCAGCTTTAGGCGTTAGGCGTTTCAATAAGTGTTAAATTATTGTTGTCAGAAAGCAGGTAGCCATGGCTTCCTATCACATGATATCAAGCCAGTATTTGAGCTCATGTGACCTGAAGCTTTAGTGCATTGTGGTTGCTGACATCAAAAGAATATTTATTAACCTTGAATGCTTTGACAACATATGTGTGCAGGTGTGGCTACATGACCTGGGTCTGGTGCACTCCTGAACTAACATTTTAGAGCTATTAGTTAGGTAGGTTACTGATAACTTTCAAACTCCTTCCCTCCCTTCCTAATGCAAACAATTTGATTAAAGCATACCAAACATTAAATGAGAGGTCCACTTTGTTGTTTAAAAACAGTATCAACAAAGCATGTACATACAGGGGTCTATTCACGAAGCTGCCGAAGGATCTGGCCGTAGCTTCGGCCGATCCTTCGGCTAGCTTCGGCCCCAGGACCCCTTCGGTTCAGTAGAACCGAAGGGGTGCTGTACGGGCTTTTACAATAGCCCGTACAGCTCCCGATCATGGGCGAGCGGCTCAGTCAAGCCGAACGCATATGTATCGGCTGAGCCGTGCTGAAAGCCGAAGCTGGCCGAGCAGCCGGCCATTGGCCGGCCGACAGCCTGCTTCTGACAGCTGGGCGGAGCCAGCCGGCTGGCTCACTTCACTTCAGATCGGTCATTCACTCGGCTGCCCTCGGCAGCTTAGTGAATAGACCGCACAATTTTTTTTAGAATTCACTGCAGTGAATTTGATGTATTTCACTAGTGTAACTAAAAGCAGGTGTAAAACAAATTATTTCTGAGATTTATGTGGACACTGATAGTAAAGAAAAATATTTCAGTTCACATATTTTACAAGTTCACATATCTATATGTATACATCACTAGAAAAACACAATCATCATATAGGTATGCAAAGATTAAAAAGTAAATGCCTGAGGCATGACAAGAACATACCTGTGACCTCAGTCCAACTCTTATAAAAATACAAACTGGATCAAATGATCCAGTGCCACAAGCCAAAAGATGGGTTCGATTATAGTGCTGAAGAATACGGACAAAATTTGCACATTCTGTCTGTAAAGAAAGGAGAATGCAGTTATTTTGTATGTATATCTGTATTATTTAAATGGATGTTGCAGTCACACATGCATGTACACCCTCTCTCTTTCCTATGGATTTTTTAATGTTGTCATTAAATGATCAGATACATTTAATGTATATGTTATGCACAGGGACTTTTTAGAATTGACTAGATCCTCTCTGTACCATCTGGCTTCATGCTGGTGAAGCAGTGCAAGTATGATGGGCAGTGGTTTTAAATTAACCTTTTTTCCATTTGTTAAAACAGAAGTCTGGACTAAACAATAATGATACAATTATAATTACAATAATTATAAGAAAAATTAGTGTTGCCCTCTCTCTGCATGCAGGGTGATCGGTCTTGTATCTTCCCCTTCTAGATTTTTTTGGGGCAGCCTGTAGTGGGTGAACCTGCTTGGTCCCTCGCACAGCTCTGCTCTCTGCACAGTTTTTTGGCAGTGCTACTTAGATTCAAGATAATATCTTGGCTATATTATTTTAGCTTCCCTCTCTCAAGGCTCTCCATCTTGGTTTTTAAAGGCATATGGTAAAAAGAAAGGTTATAACCTTTGTTGCCATTGAAGAATATATTTCAATGAAAATGTTGGTGCCCAGAGTTCTGCTATAATGTAAATGGAATGTTATAACTCCGATTCAGATCTATTGTCCATATGCTGGTGTTTTAAAAAACAAAAAACAAACAAGCTGCTTAGAAGTAAACAGTTTGGGTCTGTATAATTACCTGTTCCCTTCCTTTTCTGTAGCAGTCTTCAACTTGTTGGTCTGTAGTGGGCCAGTGTATCTAAAGGCAAATCACAAGTAAAAAGGAACTAAAGTACATTAGTCAGTAATAATGTTTTAATGCATGTTCTTTATTAAAAGCCAAGTGAGTTAAAGAAACCAAATTGCAATTAATAACAATAACTAAAAAAATACCTGTGGGTCAGTATAGTATATTGTAATAATATATTTAATTTCGGAGAGGGATTCCGTTACATGCTTATGGAGATGTTGTATGAATATTATGTATAAAAACAATAAGTGTCACTATTTTATAATAAGATATTTTTACAACAAATCCCTTTTATTATAGTGGTCAGTATGTTTATGTTTTATTCCACTTTATTAGGCAGTTGAAAGTGTTTGACATTAGAATTAGAAAACAATCTGGCTGTTTAAATGCTAAAAGACAGATTAATGTTGTTTATGTTGCATATTATTTTACATAGCTTCCAGGCAAGCCAGATTAAGTTAACACAAACCACACCTTGACTGGTAAAGGCATTGTGCCAGAGTCATGTATCATAAGACTTAATCCCCGTGGCCTCCACACAGGGGAGGATTAGAAATGCAGGAATGACCAGTTTTCTTAATCTTAATAAACATATTCTAATAACTTTTGCAGCTATTACAAAGTAGCTGCATCTACAGCAGGAAAATTATAAAATTGCTCAGGGAAAAAAAGATTGATAATTCTTTCTTCAAAGTACATGGGTTAAAATAATATATATTTAGAGTGGTATCTGATAATAATTGCATTAACTTCTATAAACTGTAGATAACAGCTCAAGACTCGTTTATCGTACACATGGACTCCGAACAGGCATTCCATTATTGAAACAATATCTTGTGATAAAAAAGGCTCATTGATTTCCTAGTAGTAAGTGGAGCCAGATTGGGTAATTAACATGTATATAAACATGTATATAAAACAAATGTACAGTCGTGTATGATCTAAGTCAATTAGAAGAATGTGGATTAAAAACAATGTTGCTGTAACATTTATATTATCTAATTATCTCATTTGATCTCTTATTATGCGACACTGCAATAGCCAATAGTAAACTAGCATTGTTCCCGCCCTTTGCCGATGGACCTGATGGGGAACTGCAGCAGAGGGCGGGTACAATGCTAGTTTACTATTGGCTATTGCAAATTGAAATAGCCAATAGTAAACTGCTCCAAAAGTCATTGAATATTTAAAAAAAAGACTCCTCCACCTTTATAAGCCACACAGGCCCACATAGCAGTGATTTCCTTGATTTACAACTCCAGCTGAAAATGTATCCATTGCATTTAGAACATTTTTTAAGAAGGTTCAGCAACATAAAAAAGAGTCTCAGCACCAAAAGCTGCAGACCTCCACCTGCAGAATCTTAATCCTTATCTAAGAGATTTAGGGATTCTAATCAACACATGCAAAAGAAACAAACACAGAGTGCCACCTCCATGTGAAGGATCATTTATTGAAAAATAAACACTTGTGAGTGGTTAAAATGTACTCACAAGTGTAAGTTGAACAAAGCGCAGTAAGATGCATGAACTGCTGTCACAAAGGAACCTTTAAGAAGGGATTCCCTTTTGATCAGAGACGCTGCTTTTATCAGTCCCTCCTGACTTGCCTTACCGCTGTGTCTCAATGGTTAACGTGTTTCAGGGGCATGCCCCCTTTATCAGAACCTTGATTCTCGAAACTTGGGTTTAAGATTGGAAATTAACCAATCAGAGCACATCTCTCCATGACGTGGTGTGTGTTGGTTGGTTGGCTTAATAACTTCTATTTTCATATTTTCTATTTTCTATTTCCATATACGCCCACACGACCGTGGCTCTGATTGAGCCATCATTAGACTGTCAAAACATTCACCGTCTGTCATTCTTTGCTCAGAGGAATCTAAGCCTCCTATTAACTTGTTGGTAATCTAGGTGGCCTTATGGCCATTGACTGAAAAAACTGAAAATGGACATGAAACACGGGCAGCATAACGGGCTTCAAACGAAGCACAACCATAAGTTCATAAGATTGAGCATTGGTCTGGCTATTTTTTCCTTTTTAAAGTTAACTCTGGCAGTAGCCATACATTGGTTACCAAATAGATAACCTATATACAACAAGGCTTAAGAAAATAAAACTTGTTTAAAACTATAAATGCATTATATTGGTTAGAATTTAGAATATAAAAATGAATATAACAAATATATATATACTGTATATAAAACACGAAAATCAATGAAAGATAGATCACTATCATGATATTAATGGCAATGTGTAGGAAGCGTATTCGTTAATGGGACTAGTTGTCAAGAACTAAAGAATTAATGAGCAAATTAATTTTAATATATCGAAGGGGAAAGGGCAACTGGTAGCCCCAGAGTGTATGGGATAGACACTGCCCTACCTATTTTGGGCATATCTAGACTGACTAGCTATAGGTGAAACAGTCTAGACAGTCTAGTTTCAGATCAAGAAGAAAAAGCCATTTCCCGAAATATAACATAACCATTATAACCAGGTAAAAGATAAAACACAAGAAATTAAAAGATACTAAGTACCCACTGGCACATCCTGTGGTGATCGAACAAACCTGCCAGTGAAACCAACCTATACCTTCAGAAGAGCTAAACCAATTAAAAAAACTATCTTATACCCAGGAGACTGAAAAGAATAATTAAAGAACCCACCAAGAAACAACTGGAACCATAACAGCAGCCCCTAATGGGTAACGATAGCTGTTAACATTCTTGATGCCTAATGTGTTCCCTAATATGCAACAGAACAAAAACAATCAAATCACTATAAGTAGAGATATCCTATAAAAATAAGGCACTTCTCTACCCCTCCCCTTTCTGTTATCTTCAGCACAAACGTCAGACACCCGGTCCGCACATTTGAGAAGCAGCACACTTTGCATCCCCCAACCCCCTCCAGTCCTTCGGAGAGTGCTTATCCCCTGGACTTTTTTGTAAACGTTCACTACTTATTATTTGCAACTACAACAAGTTTCAGTTTAATGTCCACACTCTCCCACAATCCATCCTTTATCAATGAGAAATTGTTGAGCCAATTGCCTTGGCTTCCCATATAAGGTTGATATTTCAACTTCTCCTATCAGTTCTTTTTGTGGTTGATATTTCAAAAAGATCATGACTGTCAGCCAAAAGGTGCAGCTCCACTGCACATGTGCCTCCTCCAGTTTGGAACACACCATACCAGAAAAAAGAGGGCATGATGGAAAGCATGCCTCCATGTAGTGGCCTTGCTTACACACTTAAATCACTGTTGAGTGCTCTACAAGTCAGTCTGTCCATAGTAAACTATCTCCCTGCCTGTCCTTTACTCTACTTCTCTTAAAAAGGTATTTTGTTTATAACAACAAATAATAGTACAAAACAATACAAGCACTGCTATATGTTTATTTGCAATTATAACATATTTTCTGTGGTACTTGTATGTTGTTGTATGTTGAATAATGTCACCATTTTTATGTTTCACATGTGGACTAATTTCATAGTTACTTTCTTTTATATTCTTTCTACTTACTAAACTAGACAAAATGCGTCATTTGGTGTTTAATAAAATTAACCATGTTATAAAATCAAAGTCCCCTCATGATTGGTCTTTTCGCTAAATATGCTGACTCTGCCATTAACATGTTATTTTCTTCATCTCACTACTATTGCCTCACCACCTAGAAGATCTGCAAAGCTTAACTGTATTTGGGACACCAAACAGCAACTTCTTTCAAAAGATCTGCATGGAGACAGATGCATTCTCCAAAAATACAAGTTGAGTACATCACCCCATGGTCTCCTGCAACCTCACCAGGGTAATTTTTACCATAATTTTTCCTAAGTCTACAATTTTTTTTCTCACCACATGAGTACACTAAAAGAACTCTCCTGCCTTCTCCTTCTTTATTTCTCTACAATGTCTTTCAGACATTTGTATTCTGAGAGAAAGACAGATTCAAGCTATAACAGAATCTGGATGCTATGGTCACCAATATATTTTCCATAGCATTATTTTTATAAACCTGCAGCAAAGTGAATGACTCCTTCAAACAAGCAGGCTTAGGTTTACATTGTTTATTAGCGAATAATATACTAATGTCTTCAGTGAAGACATTATTCTGACATATGGAACGGTGAACTAAAGGCAAATATGAAAATAGTCTGCTGCACAATTTTTTTAATGCTAAAATGGAAACCGAGATACAACTATATTTAGGGCTTGTCCACACCAATTGCGGTGCGCTCCAGAGCGGTAGCTGCTGGAGCGCACCGCAATCGCTCACAAAACTTCCCCCTGCATTCTGGGTCCGGAGGGCGGAGTGGCAGTGCATTGAAGTCAATGGCACCGCAGCCACGCCCCACCGCCCGCAGTGTGATCGGACGTGTGGCAACATATTGCCTGCGTTCTGTTCCAATGCAAACACAAAAAATAAAGCACGCATTGAAGTCAATGACACTACAGCCACGCCCCCTCCCGCAGGGGGAAGTTTGTGAGTGATTGCGGTGCGTTCAAGTAGCTACCACTCTGGAACGCACCACAATTGGTGTGAACAAGCCCTTATTAATTTAACCAATGAAAAATTGCATTATCTGTATTACTATGGAATTGGAAGACCAATCCTTAGATGTATGTAGCATGAAATATAAATAATACATGTGTAATCTTACACTTACAGGTCTTTTCCCTAAAGTGTAAAGAGTTTGGAGAAGGCAGGAGAAGTGAAAAATCAAGGTCAAAATAGCTGATTTGGAAACATTCTCCAATTCAGCTCACTTTCCAGTTCTGCTATGCTGTCCTAGATTGTTCACTTCTCCTGCCTTCTCCAAACTCTTAACCCTTTAGTGTATAGCCCTGTTAGTAATTATGCCATTGACAGGTAATTATTCTCTGTTTCTGTCAACATGGAGTAAAAAAGAAGCCAGAAAAAAAAAACATTTTATGGACATTGGCAGTGAAATCAGACTTTATCCTGGCAACTGATTGATTAGCTGAAAACATAACACTAAAAA